ATAATTTGCTCTGGCTGCCTCAAAGCTCCGGAGCATCTGGTAGGTAGAGGAGATGATTGGGAGGAAGGAGAGTGGGGGCAGCAAGCACAGGGAGTTTTTGAAGTCTTGGAATTGCTCCGTTTGGAATTTAATGAAGAGGAAGGGCAGGGAGGCCTTTGTGGGTCACAGGAGGATAATTTGTGGGAGGGGATGCCAGGATAGATGGATTGACTTATTTGAAAATTTCACTTGGAGCCATAGAATTTAAACTTACACCAAAGTAGCACATGAATACAAGAGTTGTTAATATTTTTGAATGTGCCGTGGACCCCTTGGCAGTCTATTGAAGCCTATAGACTCATTCTCAGAAAAATGTTTTAAATACGTAAAATAATATAATAGTATTACAAAAGAATTATATATATTTTATACTATATATTATATATACATATACACAAAGGAATTATATCAAAATATAAGCATCTATCAATATCAATCTCTTACCACTTCTGTACATGTATATAAACATACATAACAGTATGCATATGCATATGTGAATAATACTTACATGTATATACATGGACAAAAATACATAGTGCACATATGTAGAAGAGCACACAATATATTGATACATGTACATGTATGCACACATGAATATATATGTATATACATATGGTGTGTTTGTGTGTATGTAGGTTCAAATACAGGCTATATTATACCACTGACTCCACATCTAACCTTCAGCAAGTCATTCAACTGGTCCAGGCCTGCCAAAGCCTCATCGGGAAAATGAGGGGTCTGGATTAAATCATCCTTAAAATTCTAAGTCCATAATGCTAATTTCTATATCTGAGTTCTTCTGGCTTTTCTACTTACTAGGTACGTAACATGTCACAGAATCGATAATCTTAGGTTGGCAGGACCTTAGAGGTCATTTAGTCCAAAGGTGTGAGACACAGGCATGACGGCCACCTGTGGCCCAAACCGCATAGAAAATGTAATTGGGAAATATTTAACAAAATAAATAAAAGCACAATAAGACATAAATAATATTGATAATAGGTGGTTTTCTAAGTTATATGCAGCCTGCAGAGATTCTTATATATGGTTTAGTGCCCCCTGTTTCTGTTTAATGCTGCTGTTTAGTTTACTCACCCCATGAACAAATCCTTTCTACTACAGTCATCCTTTTTTTTTTTTTTGCAAGGCAATGGGTGACTTGCCCAGGGTCACACAGCTAGTAAATGTCAAATGTCTGAGGCCAGATTTGAACTCGGGTCTTCCTGAATCCAGGGCCGTGCTCTATCCATGGTGCCACCTATCTGCCCCAGCTATAGTCATCCTTGATGAAGGACCCATTCGGCCTCTGCTGAAACACTGCCACTAATCATGGCTTTACCATCCCACAAGGCAATGCATTCTGTTTTTGGACCACTCTGTTGTTAGAAAGTTCTGCCTTACAATAATAACAACACAGTTAAAAGCTGGAGCTTTAAGGTTTACAGTGTTCGTTGCTTTACAGATATTGGAGAGACAAAGTGGCTTGTTCATAGTTTGCACAGACAATCAGGGGTTAAGGGTTTTTTTTTTTTTAGTGTAGTGAAGTGATAAAGCCTGGAATTTGGGGTCAAAGGGCTTGTGTCTGAACGCTGGCTCTCTTGCTTACTCTCTGTGTGACATTAGGGGAAATTGCTTAACTTCTCTGGGCTTCGGGTTCCCCATTGCGCAGTGAGGGATCAGGGACTAAATATGACCTCCAATATTCCTTCCTGCTCTAGATCCTGTGACCTTGAGCTCAAGTTTCCTGACTCCAGCTTCCATACTTTTCTCAGTATATTCTTGGTACCTCTGTTACAGTGAATTGAAATCTGCCTTCCTATTTTCATTTTGCTATCTGGGGCCAAACAGAATAAATCTAATTTCACGTCTAGATGACAAGCCTTCAAAATAAATGAAGTTTTCTCTTTATATTTAATTTTCTTCTAAGGGGTCCCCAGAATTCCCTCAATCATTCTTCATTTAACATAGTCACCATTCCTCAAATATGTTCCACTTTCTCAATGTGTTTCTTAACATGTGGCATCCAGAACTAAATATAATAATCCAGATAAAGCAGGGTACACTGGCATTATCACCTTCCTTTCTGAATTGGAGGATTTAAAAAAATCCTTAGCACTTAGTACTGTGCATGGCACATAGTAGATGCCTGACAAATACTCATTGACTTGACTTGATTTCCTTGTTCTGATCAGTATAGAGTAAGCCTTTCTTCCTGGAGCTTCAGATCGCTTTTTTTTTGGGGGGGGCAATGATGTCACTTTGTTGATTCCCTCAAGCTTATAGTCAATTAACATCCTTGAGTCTTTTTCACTCTAGCTGTATTTAATCAGATCTTCCCCATCTCATGCTTGTGTAGTTACATTCTGAGACCTGGTGCATCATTCAAGTTTAAATTAAGTGTAAAGAAAACTGACAGCAACTCCTAGGGCTTTCTGTCCACTCTGCTCAGAATCTGAATTGCCAAGGCTGCCTGTATCAGGGAATCCCCATTGACTCTTAAAGAGGAAAGCAGAAATAAACGGTAGCATATATCCTCTTTGCTCCTAAACAAAAGGTCTGCCTGAAATAAGAATTCTAGGGCAAGCCTTGGGGCAGGTAAGTGGCACAGTAGATAGAGTGCCAGGCCTGTAGTCAGGAAGACTCATCTTCTGAGTTCAAATCCACCCTCAAACACTTATTAGCTGTGTGACCCTGGGCAAGTCACTTAACTGTTTGCCTCCATTTCCCCATCTGTTAAATGATCTGGAAAAGGAAATGGCAAACACTTTAGTATCTTTGTCAAGAAAATCCCAAATGAGGGTCACAAAGAGTCAGACACAACTGAAAAGGACTGAACAATAAGGGCAAGCCTTCCCCCAAATTAATTTTACTCATTAAAGATGCAATCCAGATGAATGGAAAGAGTAATAACAAAACAGTTGAAAACTGAATGCTGCAAAATTATACTGACCTATCTTGGAAATATATTTGATGTAAAAATTAAAAACATCAACAAAATATATTTTGAAAAATACAATTGGGGACCTTTAATTACCTAGAGTAGTTTGAAGGCTTAATTTTGTTACTAGGATCTATTACTATGAGAAATTTAAGAGGTTTGTTTACTTATTCACTGGCTCTCTACCCTAGTACCCTTGCCACAGTTGGTCAGGAGTCAGGGTTAAGAGGGAGTAAGGAGAAATTGACTTACTCTCCCCTCCTTCCTCCTATTCCTTCTTTCTCCTCCCCTTTCCCAAAATGTTAACATAGGTGAGAGTCAGAGGAAGAAGGAAGGGGGAAACAGCTGTTATACTTCATGGAATAAAACAGAAAGACTTGGAGTTAAGAAATGTAGGTTTAAGTCTCATCTCTACCACTTATTAACTATGTTTCTTTGGGGAATTATTTCACCTCCCTGAGCCTCAGTTTCCCCATCTGTAAAATGATGCTAATAAGACAGACATTATTCCTAGCTCATCTAGTTCTTAGGAAGAATGTTCTTTGTAAACCTTGAAGAATAATCTCATGCTAGGATTATGTCCATCCAAAAACTGTGAAAGACTTCTGAACTCTGATCAACACAATAACTAAACATTATTCCAGAAGACTGATGATGAAACATGCTACCGACCTCCTGATGGAGAGATGATGGGCTCAGGGACAGATTGCAACATATATTTTTTTTGGACACAGCCAATGTGGCAATTTTGTTTTACTGACTATGCATGTTTGTTACAAGGGCTTTAGTTTTCTTCTTTTCCAGTAGGAGAGAGGGGAAGATGAGACAGAAAATGAGTTTTTGTTCATTGAAAAAATAAAAGATAAAGTCACTTATTTAAATTCTTTTCCCTTTTCTGCCTGCTGGTCTCTCAGTCTGAACTCTAAACTCTTATCTGAGATATGGTCCCAAATTCCCTTTAACTCCTATCACACAATTTGAGTTATTAGCACTGGTGCTTAAGATCATTCTGGAGACTGTATTTAGCAAAACTTCAAAGGAGCTAGATGGAATTGAGTGAAGCTCTTCCCAAACCCCACCATTCCCCAGGTTGCCATGCAAATCAATGAAGGAACCTTTTAAAAGGGTTGTCTATTGAAGCTTTGATTGGTTACCTCTATCCTACTTTCTATCAGCAGCCAAAATCACTGTATTATCTACAATTATAATTGTTTTATTTTTTTGGTGAGGCAATCAGAGTTAGGTGATTTGCCCAGGGTCACATAGCTAGTAAGTATTAAGTGTCTGAGGCCATATTTAAACTTAGGTCCTCCTAACTCCAAGGCTGGAGTTCTATCCACTGAGCAACCTAGATGCCCCAAATGGACTTCTTTTTTCTTTTTTTTTTTTAAAGGTGAGGCATTTGGGGTTAAATGACTTTGCCCAGAGTCACACAGCTAGTGAGTGTTATGTGTCTGAGGCTGGATTTGAACTTAGGTCCTCCTGACTCCAGGGCCAGTACTCTATCCACTGTACCACCTAGCTGCCCTAATTATTTTATTTTTTAAAAAATAAAATATATAAAGCATTTGAAATCTTTTAAAAATATATTTTATTTTCTTTTTGCTAAAGTTAAAAATTGGGGCTACAGGTTGGAGACAAGATAGAGGGACTTTGTTCATATGTAAGAGATTGAATGGCTCATATGATGATAGGATTTAGAACTACATCATCTAGTCCAATGCCATCATTTCACAAAAAAGGAAACTGAGGACAGAATAGAGATAGGAAGGGATTCCCTTGCTCAAGATTTGCGCAGGTGATAACTTATGACTGAACTTAGATGTTCCAACTACAAGACCATTATTCTTTCCACTATAGTACAGATGTAGGCATAATTTATCTCTACCTTCTCCTTCATCTGTATCTGTCCCTGGCTTCCATGTAACTGATTTTATTATAAAAACGTCTTCCAACCATTGCTCTGATTTTCCTTTCAGAAAATAAATCAACAACGAATGTATAGCATTAATCCATTTTTTACCTTTTTTCCACTTGCTTTGTCTTCAGCTGCTGCTTTTCCTCAACAAATGAGGTATTTAGAGCTCTATGTAACCTCTGGAACAAAGAGAAAACATAAAGAAAAACAATTAGAACCTCTTCACCTACAGAGGCACACACTTCAAGTAGGAAAAAAGCCCTGGCTAGGTATCTGCCTAAGAGAACAGAGGGTGCTGAGTCAGTTCAAGAGAATGTTGGCTTTTTCTTTCCAACTCTAGGGGAGGCTGGGAATAGGCTCCACTCCCACCAGCTCTAGATTCAATGAAGGGACCTTTTAAAGACCTTTTAAACCTTTTAAAACCATTTGAACAGCACAAGAAATCTCTAAGTTATCATTCTATCTCTGGAAGGAAGCCATATGACTGAATATTCAGTAATTATTCTGGGTGTGAAAAGGTTGGTTCAAACAGTCTATATAGAAAGTTCTGGTTTTTTATTCTTATCTTAATGAACAGCCAGTAGGAGAACCTCTTCCATAGAATCCAAGCGTCCTCATAATCTGAGCTGCTCAGTTACATTAAGGGAATGAGTAAGGGAATTGCAAGATCATAGATTTAGATCTGCAAAGAATCCCTTGGAGGTCACCTAGTCCAACCTCTTATTTTCTAGATAAAGATAACGAGGCACAGAAAAATGAAATAACTTGCTCATTGTTACACAGGTCCTAAATATCAGAGCCAGGGTTTGGACGTAGGTAGGTCTTTGGACTCCAGATTTAGCGTTCACTGCACACTGGTGATGATGGCATGGTCCATGTATAGGAGTGGCCAGTGGCATTACTGACTTTAAGGAATGTCCTGAAGGTAATGAACAGCCAAGAACTATGGGTGTTAGAGCCCAGTTAAATGTGTCTCTTACATAGAACAAAGAAATAGGGTGCTTTCTTGAGCTATCTCTTCTATGGGGGTAGTTGTGCAGAAGTGAAAGACTTTAAAATGCTTCCATTAGGAAAGACTGTGTAAGACCAATAGAAGACAAAAATAGGATGTGAGTGGGTCTCAGTCCCCTCTTGACTTGATTTATTCAGTAAGCTGATTCATGAAATCTAAGCACAAAGCAGTGCCTAGCATTGTGCTAGGCTTTGCAGGAGATATAGAAGTATGATAGGAAATTGTCCTGTGTTCAAGGAGCTTAATTTGATGGGAAAGTTCTTGAAAAGGGGAGGTCTGCAGACTCCTAAAATATCTGTGGATAGATTTCAAGAGGTTCCATGAAATTGGATGAGAAAAAATTCACATCTTGATTTTTCTAACCTCTAACTGAAATTTAGCATTTCCTTCAATTATTTAAAAACATTATTCTGAGAAAGTGTCTATTGGCTCCACCAAACTAACGAGGGATCCATGACACAAGTGAGGTTAATAAGAGCTCCTATTTTAGAGGAAAAAAAGAGCCGTAGCTTATGTGACTGTCTACATGCATCTAATTCTCCACACAGCTGGCTAATCCTACATTTCATAGAGTATTAAAATAATAGAATCTGAGTTGGAGGGGACCTTAGAGATGATGTAGTTCAACCTGTATCTGAAAAAATAAGCTCACTTTAAAGCTAGGTTTGAGTTGTGAGCCTGACACTTACTGCCTGAGTGACATTGGACAAAACACTTCACATCTCTGGCCTGTTTCCCAGCTGTAAAGCTAGAATGTTGGACTAAAAGATGTCTAAGTTTGCTGAGAGCACAAAATTCTATGATGGCTGATAAGTGGTTGTCTCTTCTCTGCTTGGAACCCACCAGTTTCACTATCTCCCAAGCTAGCGCATTCCATTTTTTTAACATCTCTTAATTATTATGAACTTATTTCTTATATTGAATTAAAATCATTGCCCCTGTAAATTCCACCTATTTTTCCTAGTTATGTCTTCTGAAGCCTAACAGAATAAATTTCTCCCACATGACAACCTTCAAATACTTATATGGTTAGCACAAGACTCCAAATTTTCTTGTTAATAGGCTGACTATCCCCACTTTCTCTAGCTGAACCCCATATAGCTTGGTTTCAAGGTCCTTTAATGTCATAGTTGTCCCCCTCAGGAGGGACTCCTTCCCCAGATGTGGTATTTATTAGAACATAATTCTCCAGACATGGTCTTGCTTACTGTATGCCTGACAACAAGAATTTGTGTTCTGCATCCCCTGGTAGGGTTGGAATAGAGATCACAGTCCTCTGGAACTCTCATGACACTCACCTGACTGGTGTGAAGCCAGTACTTCATCTTGGATTTCTTTTTGATTCGTGGTAGGATCAGCCTGTATACTATGTGCTCTCCAATGGTAGTTAAGATAGATAAGCCAATGCCAATGCACAACATCACGAAGAGTCCGGAAAAGTGCTTAATACCCATTTGTAAAGTCTAAATGAGCAGAGAAAAGAAAAAGGGAAAGCCATTTGCTAAGAACGACAGTCCATTGTAGTATACACACAGTCATGACCTTTATTCTAAAAAAAAAAAGTCAGAGGTTTAATACTTGTGTAGTCATTAAATAATAAATTCATTCATTCTTTAAACATTTGTTAGGTAACTACTAGATGCAACACATTGTACTAGAGCTAGACGTAGTGTGGATACAAATGAAAATGAAACAAGGCCCCTGCCTTCAAGGAGCTTATGATCTAGACCACATAAAATTCAATCTGTCAAGCAGTACCAAAACACTACTATGCCTATTGTAAAAAGGAGTCTTCTGGTTTGGGCTTAAGATTAGGAAATGATTCACGTTAGGTTTTTGTCATTAACTCATGGTTGTCACAAATGTTAAGAAGAAAAACCCTTCTCTGAGTTTCTGAGTCTAAAGGACCTCTCTGGGCTCTGTTATTATGAGTCTTTTGAAATTCTCCATTTGTTTTAGAGAATGAACACATGGTCAAGGGAAGCATGACTCTAGAGAGGTTAGTAATCACTGTTTTGGGATTCTTTGAGCTACTTCCTGGCTCTCTAGTTGCTCCTTGAGCTTGTAGTCCCATTCCCTGAAGGCCTTTCAGTCCAGTTTGAATGACCATTCATCAGTATGTTGTAGAGGAATTTTTGTTAAGGTATGGAGCAGACTGGATGGCCTCGGAGGTCAATTTGAGCTATTGCCAAATGTGCTGAGCTGCTTTGGTGGGTGGTGAGTATTTAATCTGAGGCTGACTACTCACTTTTCAGGGAGGTTGTAGATAGGATTAATGTTTTAAGTAGGAATTGGAATATAGGAACTCTGAGGTCCTTTCCACCTTTGAGAATCTTAGGTTCTGAGATATCTCCAACCTCAGAGAAGTTCCTTCACTGTGTAAATCTAGGAAAGTGTCTTTCTCCCCCAGGTTCCTCTTCCATAGCAAGATGAGTACACTCCATTCCTTCAGGTATCAGGTCTAAGATATGATTCTAAAACTTTTGGGGCTTCAGCTGTCATCATAGTACAGTATTACTATGAAAGGCAATGTTACCCCGAGGGAAGAGACTTTTTCGTTTTTGTCTTTGAAATGCTAGCATCTAGCACAGGGCTTGGCACTTTGTATGTGCTTAAGAAATGCTCGTTGATTAATTTACCATTTAATGATAATGATGATGACCTTTGCTTCTGTGTTCCACCTTTTAGCCAGAAGAATCAAAAGGAATTTCAAATTTTCTGAGCTTGACTTTTCTCTTTGTTTAGAGGAGGTGAAGAGGTATGTGCATAGGAAGACAGCCTCAGATGCCATTTTTAATGGTCTCTATTTCATCCAAGATTACAACTGGCTGGACAGGAGAACACTAAAGCTATCGACCATTTGCAGATGTCTTTTGGCTAACTTGTAGGGTTGGGAGAGGTATGGAAATGCATCCTTTGGGCATACAGCAGACATGTAGATACATCAATTCCATCCATCCCTTCTATGTCACCCTCTCAACCCCCATTCCTCAACTTGGGGATGGAATCAGTGGCAGTGTAATTGAAAGAGAATGATGATGAAGATATTAATGATAACAATACTTTGGTTTATATGCAGTTTTACAATTCAAAAGTGCTACTGCCTGCATTGTCTCATTTGATTTGTGTACCAGTTGAGGTAGGGTTTATTGTACCCATTTTACAGATGAGGAAATGGGTTTAGAGAGGCTATATAGTGACTTTCTCTAAGTTACATGTCTAGCAAGTAACAGAGGTTTGGAGTCCAACTCAGGGCTCCTGACTCTAAGCTCAGAGGATTTTCATTACAAATGCTATGCCTTTCAGTTCGTTCTTCCATCGGTCCACATCTTTCATTGCCTGTCCTGTATTCCACATCCTAAATATTACTATTCCCATCCCATTCCCTCATCCTCCTGACCTTCATATTCCTGCTTCTGGTGTTCCTTTGATTTCCATCTTCCTGTTATTGGCCTCACCACCGAGCTAGTCACCTAAGCTTAAGGCTCTGAATGCATTTTTGACTCATCACCTTCCTTTATCTCCTGGAAACTATCAGTTCTGTCTTTTCTCAGCTTGGAGTATAAAATCTGGTTAGAAGTATTTTTAGGTCTGATTTGATCCTGTCTCAAAGGGGATCAATTTTGAGAGGCAAATATTGTGTCCCCACTTGGTCTGTGGGAGTGTCAGGTTGGGAGGTAAGGGATACAGGAATATCCTGGGTGATTATCAAGATTTCAGAGGATCTAAATGGTGGGAAAAATACAAAGTGCGAACTGTGACAAGAGTCAATAAGTTATTGTTTAGTCATTTCAGTTGTGTCCTACTCGTTATGATCCCATTTGGGCTTTTTTTTTGGCAAAGGTACTAGAGTGGTTTGCCATTTCCTTCTCCAGTTCATTTTGCAGATGAGGAAACTGAGGTAAACAGGGTTAAGTGACTTGTCCAGAGTCATACAGCTAGTAGGTGTCTAAAACCATATTTGAACTCAAGTCTTCCTGACTCTAGGCCTGGCACTCTATCCACTGTGCCACCTAACTGCTCTGCCAAGGGAAAGAATGGTTGGTAATTCTCACTCAACATAGTGTGCCAGCCTTATATCCATGGATGATTATGGGTATAGCCCCCTTCTTTTACAAAGGAGGAAAGTGATGCCCAGAGAGCTAATGTGATTCAAGGTCCCAGTGGGAGTAATAAGCAGATGATATTCAAACTCTTAAATTCTCTTCAACTTCCTTTCCTAGCAATTAAGGGACTCACCAAAGCTTACTAGTTCTTGCCATTTCATACACTCAATGCAGCGCTTCTGGTGTAGTGAAAAAGAATCAGAAACAAAGTAGATGTTTATTGATAGGGGAGTGATTAAAACATTACGGTACATGAGGACTGTTCCTCCACTGAAAGAAATAATGAACGTGAAGAATTCGGAGAAGCATGGGGAGACTTATATGAAGTGATGCCTAAAGTAAGCAGGACCAGGAAAACAATATACTGCTGCAGTAAATGTAAATAGAAAGAACAACAAATTCAAATGGAATAATGACCAAGCTTGGTTCTGGAGAAGACTTGAGAAAATGTACCTGTTTCTCTTCATTGTAGAGGGTGTGGAATGTGAATGTGGAATTTTGTCAGATATGGTTGATGTTGGGTAGTTTTCCTGAACTACTTTCTCACCACCCCCTGCTCTTTTTCTTAAAATCTTTGTTACCAGGGATGGTTTATTGCATAAGGGAATGAGATGCAATATATCAGGAAATGAGTGTGATATAAAAAAAAACAAAAGTAGTAATAAAAATGAGATACAATTAAGAACAGAAAAGTGAGTAGACAAGCAAGATTAGAGTTGTGCCATTTAATAATGTTCTCTATACAATACTGGAAGATTTTGTAAATAATTCATTGCGAGAGGTAATTCAACTAAGTGGTTATTTATGTGTATAGGTTAGTGTATAGAGTTCTAAGTCCAGTATTCTTTCTAATACATCATGCGCAATAACAATAATCATAGCCTACTGAGAGCTCATTATATTATGATTTGTGATAGAACTGCAGTAATATAATACAAGCTGTACCATATTGTAGCCTATCTGTTTTAGGTCAAGTCCGATTCCAGCCTGTTTGGTAATTCAGGGTTTGGCATTAGAATGAAATGAGATTTTACATACCAACTAATAGTTAGCCATAGCATAGCTTAAGAAATTGACTTGAGGATGTGTTTCCTCCCACCTGCCTCCTTCCCTGAGTCCAGTTTGTGCTACGCCACATTAAAAAATTTCTAGTTAAAGCTCTGACATTGAGTGAGTTCTTCCCTGGGTTTCTAATTGTCCCTTCTCCAATTTTAAAGGTGTTAGGGAGGAGGGAAGATTGATCTGGAAGTTAATGTGGCTACTCCAAAGAAAGTAACTGAAAATAGGACAAAAACTGTTTTTACAAAGCTGCATTTCATCTATATTTTTTATGATTCATACACTTATGATCAATCTGTTTTCCAAAAGACCTAGCAGAGTTTCAGAGCAGGGTAGTTCAAATAATCCTAGGAGCTGGAGTGGCATCCACATGAGCACAGGTCAAGAAGTTTAGGATTCTTTAGCGAGAAAAGACCTTGAATGCTCAGAGTGAGTCTGATTGAACTCTATGACATGATTAAAAGTTTTGGGAATGTCTCCATGAATTTTGTTTGCTAAATCTTAGAATTTTTCTAACCTCCTTCAAAGCTTAAAGGAGGTAGTTAGCTTTTGGGCAGGAAAAATAAATCATTTATTTACCCATTCAGTAGTTAGTAAATATGAGTTACTCATTCCAAGAAACTGTAGTAAAGAACATACATTGCCATTTGGGAAAACAATACCGTGATCAGACAGGAAAAAAAAATGGCTTACTCTGATTTAGACATAACTGCTATTCTTTGTCTTCTTTTTTTCAATTCTTTAACATTTTTATTTAAAGTTTTGAATTCCAAATTCTATCCCTCCCTCCTTTTTTGCCCTTCCCCCTCCCTGAAGTGGTAAACAATCAGATATAGGTTATATGTGTACAATTATGTAAAACATTTCCATATTAGTTATTTTTAATTAGTTTATCTTTAATTTTTAACATTCACTTCCATAATATTTTGAGTTCCAAATTTTCTCCCCATCTCTCCCCTCCATCTACCCCAAGATGGCATGCATTCTGAATACCCCTTCCCCTGATCTGCCCTCCCTTCTGTCATCCCCCCCCCCACTTCTCTTATCACTTCCCCTGCTATTTTCCTGTAGGGCAGGATAGGTTTTTATACCCCTTTGCCTATACATCTTATTTCCCAGGTGCAACAGACCTTTCCTGCAGACCTTCCAGGTTGTCTTGGGCTGGAAATTTGTTTCACTCTGTCTTTTTGTAGGTTCTGTTGCTCTAGAATTTGTTTAGAGCCATTTTTACAGGTATTTGGAGGGGGTTTAGGGGAGAGCTCAAGCAAGTCACTGCTTTTACTCTGCCATCTTGGCTC